TATGCGCAAGCAAGAAGAAAAGGAGGGCGAGGAGAAGGTCGACGTTACCGTGTCACTACCACCTGACGCCGGTAGCCAGTAGGTAATTACCTGTACCTGAACTCCCGACAAACTAAACTACCTCACGGCTTATGCAATATGACGGGGGGCCTGAGTACACACAAGCGCCTTCCGCCGCTTGCATAAAGGTGGGGTGGTTACACGAGTCGCCGCCGTGATATCCCACGGAAAAGTCTCCTCGATGGTCTCGGTAACTGCCACGGGCTTCCGGCGGGAAGATTGCGAGTGGCGATTGCGAAAATAACGTTTGCGCACCTCCGCGATATCCGAAACCGGATCGAAAGAAATGGGAGGGGTGAAAAAAATTTCCGCAAACGGGAGGTAACCTTCACTTCACGATACGAATCGCAATCGCGTCACCCCTCGACCACAAGTTTCATTTCCCGATGTGTATGTTTGATAAATTGCTACTCCCTCGTCGGTTTATTAATGGTTTGTCTCGTGTTTCTTTCTGTTATCTGCCGGCGAATTAATTTGCCGGTTTTGATAGGCGAACAGGTAGGACAGTGCTTAATTACGATCTGTAAATTCACTCGTAACATTTGTAATAATATTATTCGATTGTAATACGCCATAAATATGTGATAAATGTTGCCCGTTCTCTCTGCTGATGTTTATTCGTTTGCGATTTATTAACGTTGATGTCATTTTACGCGTGACAACTGTACAACTCAAAGTAAAACACCAGACATGGATTTAATTAATTACGTTATTGCAAGCGGCTTCTTTTTAATACGCGCTCGAAACAAGCTTGTTCCCGAGTTTGTCGAAATCGGGACAATTTTCGCCCGTTTCTATTCGGGACGATTAAATACAGCCGAGCGAGTTGATAGGACGTTTGCCACTAATGACGATGACTTTACGATACGAATCGTGGCGATGCATCTCCGCGATATAACGATGGCATCTATGCGGGTGCAAGCATCCAGGACCCATTCATTTTCAAATCATGATGTCTCAATGCGACGCATTAAGTGGGCAACGCGATAAAACAAAGATTGATTATTCCCAGGATGAATCCGCGAACATAGATCGCACACGCTTCTTCCGCTCTGAAAATTTTGAAACCGCGTTTGCGTATTCCCAAATAAAATTATAATTACAATTATGCACGCGGTATAATAATATGCAAATAATGTATGAACGGTATAATTATGTAAATTGTAATGAAGTAATTAACAAACATGATTATTGCGTCGTTGCTGCGGTATTATTATTCCGATATATGACCGGTAAATAATGATAATATCAATTGTCACGTATATCTAATGTATTGCCATTTAATCTTATACACTGTGACAATTAGCGAAATTTTATAGCCGTTAAAAAGTGCAAAGAGCAGAGAATAGAGGGATTAGATACGTTGGACACATGTCTCGAGGGAGATGTAAGGTACAGATGTCCGCGCAGTCCCCAGGTACATTGTCAAAGTTCTCTTTGCGCATAAGCCAAGGTTAAAGACCGTGCGAGAGCATGTGCACGACACGCGAATGTTTAATCAGCGTCGCGTTGTGATTGTACACGACTGTCACTCAACTCTCTTGTGACGAGTGCAATCTTCCCGGCTGCGCCGATGCAGCATGCGTCTTTCGTGTCGCACACACGTGTGTGTGTGTGTGTGTGTGTGTGTGTGTTGTTGTGTGTGTGTGTGTGTGTGTGTGTTGTTGTGTGTGTGTGTGTGTGTGTGTGTGTGTGTGTGTGTGTGTGGTGCGCGCGCGCGCGCGTGTGTGTGTATGTGTGTGCATGCCTGTGTGCTCAATGTATGTACAAGAAACCTGGGGAGAAGATATCTAACTAGGTGATGGTAATGGTACGCCGCTGCTACCACTGCCGCCTCCGCCACCATCGCCGCCACCGCCGCCGCTTCTACTGCCGCTGCTGTTGCTGATGTTGCTATCCCTTCGGCCAGCTGTTACTTCCTGCAGCGGTTCTCCGTCTTTGTCTCGCGTCCGTCGCTCCACACTCCGCTCCGTTCCCGGAAGCTTATCAGGAGAAACTCGCTCTCCTTTGCCGATTTCCTTTAATCGTGACGAACATCCGCGTCGTATTCGATATTACCGAGCAAACGCAAAATATTGTCCATTTTTTATCATAATAATTTCCTTTCCTATTGAGATGGAACTCTCAAATTTGAGAGCTTCAACGAACCGCAAGAGGTATGGTTATTAGCAACGAGTGGTCATTTAAAAATATAAAAAAATCCAAGCTATAATTTTTCCATCTTTTGTCAATCTTACGTAAACGAAGTTTCTAATGCGGAATTCATTTTCATAATTCCCGAGTAAGCCCGAGATATAATTATGGTGATCATTAACAAGTCGATTATCAGCAAGTTAGAGAGCATTAAATTGGGATGTGACTCGATGAGATTCAGGCTGTAATACATCAGACGTATTTGTAGCATCTTCGTAAGTTTTTTTACAATTATTTAAGTATTTTGATAAATATATACAATAGAGAAATGTTGCATATTTCAGAACATTTCAAATAATTGTGCGTCATTTTTCTGCGGAGTCTCGTTTGTCTTCGTGGCAGTAGAAAATCAAAGTTTACCCATGTGGGCTGGCCTTGCGGGGACCATATGCGCGCAGCACACATATGTACAGAACTTGAAGCAGCATCGTATCCGAAGCATCGCGGTCGTCTGATGTCACGAGCGAACTTTTCTTTGAGTTCTACTCAAAGATATCCGTTATTCGTGATATTATCCGCATATTCGAACAATATACAATTTTGTCCGTAAATCTACACGTGAACCGTCACAATTTTTATATTTCCTCGTTCATATGTCATCCGAGTTGTAATTGTTCCATTTTCAATTTATATAGTTCACAAATTACATTGAATTGCATTTAATGTATTAGAATTCAGGTATAAATGTTTATTGCTAAATGTTAGTATAAAAACGTATTTGTATGTCCATACGTCTTTAATATACTGATAAGTTTTGTGTATCAAATTCGTTTTTACTAAGGCTCTTCGTTTCTTCACGGCACGCATCACAACCAGACATTTCCCTACGATGAAGAAGTTCGCCAAAAACTGTTACGTCAATCAACCATTCCTTTCCCGAGTTACTTTCGCCGTACTGTTACTGACGTAAGTATTTGCAATTAGCGTTACGCTTGTAGCGACTCTTACTATTTTCACAATTGCAATATAACTTTACAAAACTATAAATTGCATTTAACTACATAACTATTATGTAAGTTTATGTTGCAATTTATTCATAATATTTATTATTGTATATTATTTCCGTAATTTTTAATTCAACAGCCAGTTTATTTAAAGAATTTTTTTGTAATTAATAAAGAGAAGAAAAAAAATTAAAATTTCTGAAAAAAAAATCTCAATAATAAGATATAAAAATTTTAAAAATATCTAGACATTTTGAAAACAGACTGTTGATTTCGTAAGGATAATTTTCCAAATCTCAAATATGTCAGAATTTTGGAATCATGTCTAATATTCTTGATTGTTCAATAAAAACAAGAAAAATGATAATATTACTATCAACATTTATCGCTTTATTAATATCGATTGATTGCGCCAAAATGTTAGTTAGAAAATGTTACTTTAAAATTAAAAATTATTTTATTAAAATTAAAATTATTTTATTCGTTGATACAGATGATGTTTTCTCGGCGCATTGACAATGGAGGAATATATGTGCCGCTAATCGCAGCTGCTAACTGCAACTGCATCCGGATTAGCGTTCGGATTTACGCATCCGAGCCATACACAAGGTTTCCGTACGGGGTAAGGTGGTCTTCATGGGCGACATTCGACAGGGCACGAAGAGAGCGAGATCGATAAAGCGCACGTGCTCCACGCGGCTGAGAGTCCCTGGCTGGAAGTAAGTACGGTGGGACTCAGCTGTCGCCTCCTAATTGCCGGGACAATGCAACAGATGGCTTTGATCGCAATCCCTACCCACGGTCTTCCCGCTCTCGAATTCTCCTTCTTTCTCTATCTCTCTCATTCTGAACAACGTCCCCCTTTCTTCTACCGTCGCCGCCGTCGCCGCCGTTTTTCTCGCAGCCGCTTCTTCGCGGGCCTCCTCTTCGCCGATTTGATCCGACATCTCGCGACTCCATGTGTTCGATTTCATCTCGCTCAGACAAACGTGCTACTTAAGGACCAAGAACGTCATCCTCGGGTTTCATCCTGATCACTGTTTCAGTCTGATCGGTTGCACACTTCAAACTTAAGGCGTCACAATGCCTAATGTCTTTTTTTTTTAACGCGGATAAACGTAGATATATTTAGATCATTTCTCTAAAGTTTAGTTAAAAATAACTAGAATTCCAATTGATAAATTTTTCTTTCATCTTGCTATCCTGTATTTATTAACACTAATTTTATTTTAATTTCACTTCCAATCTTTTTTCAAAAACAAAATTACCAAAAGACAAAGGATTATTTCAACCTTCATTAATTTTAACGACTTATTATAGGAAACGATTATAGAAAAGCCATTGAACGACTTGGTTAATTTAATGTTTATGGAAACGGCTATCTCGAAATTTCGTTACCCTAAAAGATCGTATCAAGTTAAGCATAATCCTCAAAAGTGCTTAACTGCTATCCGTCAGCATAAATAAGGAACATTGTGCGATCCGAAACAATCGTGTCACCAACTTATTTTCCCATCAACGCCTAATATCGCAAGCGTTTCAGCTTTACGAGGATCCTCGGTCACGAGGAGAAAGTCGGGCATACGCCGGGGACGAGCCCCAGGTCGTAAGCCGCACCCCATAAGTACACGCGGTGTGCGGGTGACTATCGCGAAATACACCTCGAACGGCGTAGCGTTGGGGATGCCCCAGCAGCGCAAGCGGATATGATATCAGCCCCGAGCAGAATCCCAGTGGAAGTGTCGGACGTGCCTTATCGCGTCTGGACCAGGCAGTCAGGCGGCGCACGAACCTAACCGACACACACCGGGCCAGCCAACCAAGTTGACTGACTGCTCGCAGGAGTTTCGCCATCATCCCCCACGGAGCAACCTCTATCTCCCTCTTGCTCTCTCTCTCTCTCTCCCCCCCTCCCCCCCCTCTCCCTCCCCTTGCCTGCGATCTCTTGCAATGCGCTCTCCACATACGCATCCACGCGTGTACGTGTACGCTCCTATGCACCTAAATGGTTGTGCTAAAGATCACGATAGATGTATACTGAATATCTCCAAAAACCTGTTAACTGTCAACGAAGTATGCATAGCTGCAAAATAGGATTTTCCCCCTATTATAATTTCCTTCTAATTAGGAAATTATTGCGTATTCTTTGTATGATACATCGAGAGTTTTTATTAGATTTTTTTATTAAGAATTTTTATCAATCAGCAACGACTGACATATCTCGTGTCGACACTCCTGATGATGGTTTCACGTAGTGAGTTGCGTCAATAAAAACAATCCTGAGATGAGCAGAGGGAGAAAGAGAAAGAGAGCCCGCGCTCGGACGCGATGACGGGCTTTGATGTGCCAGAAGGGGCTTTTTTCCTGAGCCCCGGTTTCCAAGTTAGCTGCGGGCTCGCCGCTCGTCTAGATAACCGGCTCGGGCTGAATGTACGATTCGAGCGAGAGCGCGTGGACTGGATATACGGGTACCGCCATGCAATATTCCGAACTAATGTACGACGCGCCCACAGCATGGGCTCTCGCGCGGACATCGGCGAGGTCGTTCCTTTTAATTTTCAGTTTCGAGGATCGGGGTGAACTTCCGGGGACGCTCGAGAAAGAGCATCCACAAACCTATTTTACGCGAATCGGACTTTGAAGTACTTTTGGAATGATTAAATTAGACTTGGTCTTTTAGTTTTCAAAGCTGCCGCAAATGACAAAGTATTAAAAAAAGAAATTATACATTTTAAAATTTGTATACGTAATTTTTTTTCGCATTAGACTTAGAGTTTTTTTACGTCGTGCGTAGTATTGTTCACTTCAACTAAAATTTCATTAACTTTTACGTTTTCTGCTGCTTGTACTCATTTTAATTAAAAACTTAATAATTTCATCAGCGCGATTTAAAATTAGTTGTCACATGGCGCAATCTTGGCAAGTGACAGATTGTAAGCGACAACGTGACAGCTGACAGCTGCGCTAAGCACTGAAATCCGCGTTAAGGACAAAAAGAAAGGTAATGTACCGTGATGCGAATCTGAAATTAGATAAACTGCACTTACCGCACCTGTGCACTATACCATCGACACGCTCTTGAGCGAGAAACGTCGATATCCCGAATTAATAGAATAGCGAACTCACGTTCGTGCGATTCAGCTGGGTGCCAAGTGATTTGTTTTTTATGGTCGCGCGCGATAGATCAAATAGACTAGAGTGGCCACGTTGTTAATTTTTAAACGACACATGTCACTCCGCCGATGCGTATTATTACAACATATTGCCGACTGGGGTGGAAGTGAAGAGGATATTAACAACTCTGTACGTCATACATATATTCTGCAACGAGATACTTCGAATCATCGGCGACTGCCGTCGTAATTTAACACGACGCAATAATAATACGCAATCGTTCACGTTAATAGCATCGATTATAAAGTTTCATGTATTTCGACCTCGTTCCTATTTTTGCGCTTTTTAATGCAAAGTGGATTTTCTGCAACGCCGTATTTTGCGAAACAATAATGTACTTAATTCTAGTATGTCACATCAAGAATCTGTCAATACCTCGGCTTACATTTTGCAGAGCACGGCATTATACGAAACTAGACCGTGACATGGAATCAATAGGTCAATACAAATTGATATTTATACATTGGCAGATAGGTCGATTTGGACCGATCGATTGTCTTCCAAGAAAGCAAAAATATTTATATAAAAAAAAATTCCGTCCACTATAGACGTTTATTTAAAAACTTCTAAAAAACAGAGAAAAATGTTCCGTAAAATATAAAAAAAAAAATAAAATTCTTTTCAAGATAATCGACTTTCTCATACATAATAAGGATATTTTTTTATGCTTTTTATGCTAACGTTACACAATCGATATTTTTTTCAATCATGCGTGTGAAAGACACTCACCCTTATTCTTGGCCTTAAGGTCGAGGTCGACCGGAAAGGAATCCACGGTGTTGGAGACGGTCGTCGGCGGATGGCAGATAATACTGGAAGATTGCAGGACGGGGGTAGCGACGGCGGTAGCGGCGGCGGCGGCGGCAACCATTGTGGTAGTCGTCGAAGAATTCGCGTTCACGGTGGAGACACCATTGCTGTTGGTGACGGTCGTTGTGATCGCCGTCGCGGCCGAGACAGTGAGCGTCGCGACGGCGACGGTGGTGGCCGCTGACGTGGATGACGGTGAGACCTGCTGATAGCCGCAGCATTCCTTCGTCTCTTCCTTGACCTTGACCTTGTGGAGAACCGTCGTCGTTGCCACTCCGCCCTCCACTTTCATATTCGCGAGCCGCTTTCTCACCTGCGGGCGGCGGCATAAATTAAGTGCAAATTGCTCCCTCATGTTGAATCTTGATACAATTAACGGAGACTAATGATAATTAAAAGAGATGACATAATTAACAAACTCTCTAATCTGAGGAATTAAAAAAATCAAATAAAAAAAAAGCGTAAAAAGGAAAATAAGAGAAAACAAAATACGAAGGAATGAAGAAAAGTCAGAACGTTACTCTGAAATGCATAATTTTATCTTCTTTTTTCTCCCCTTTTTCCTTCGTCGAACATGATTCGCAAGAATTTTACGTCATCAGAATATTGTAATCGAAGATTAACAGGTTCCTCTATTCGTCGCTTCCGAGAACGTGCCGCCTGCTTTTGACCAGATTCGAGTCGACGTGGTCGCGACGACGTGCGGAAGAGCGAGCAAGGGAGACTGGGGCACCTATATGCACGTCATCGGGCGTGCACACGATTCACATTTGATTGATTCCATTTCATGAAAGCGTCGCGCGCGCGCCCGTGCCGGCCGCATGTTTCGTCTACGTGCCCGGCGAGACAGGATCGTTGCCGCGCATACCGATGGCCGTTTTAATGGAATGTACGAACGTTAGTTTTACAAACCAACAAAGATCCGTCACGGTGCGAGAACACGGAATTATTGGGGATCCGCGGACGCTGCCGCCCATAACTGATCACGCCCCCCGTCATTTTTGGCCGCACTCGGCGCACGGCCTACAAATGGACCATCACGAAAAGCTTCCGCAAACGTTCTCGCATCCGATCTGCAACGAATATATTTCGCGAATGATTTCTCGCCTGCGAATTCTGCGAGTTTCCACTAAAAGATCAATCAAGCGTCAATTTTTTGTTATTAATCTTTAACACTCGATGCATTAAAGTCTTTAAATGAGAAAATTAAAATTTGAAATTGGACGTCAAATTTGTTGAAGTCCAATTGAAAAAAATGTGTTGGCAGTAAATTGGAACGTCGTTTACTCCGACGGATTTTATGTTACATAAGTTATTGGAAAATACTTTTGAGATATCTTTTCATTAGAAAACAAACTCTCAATATATACATCTGCAATACTATTATCGAAAGATTCGCAATTTCCACAAACTAATTTCGCATGAATGTTGCAAATAGGTGTTTTAAGTACTTTAAGTTTTATGTAATAAGAGATTCTCGCAGCACGTAGATTCCGGTAAATCCTCCGCGGTAGACAAATTAAGAATTAAATAGAGAATAAAATTTTCTTATTAAATTTTCAAGCAATTCGAAGTAAGAGCTTTCCAAATGTTGCTCTTCTCGCTATTTTTAATTTCTTAGCGTGGTTTTTTTCTTTCACCGCGCGTACCGCCATGATGATTGCCGGTCGCAAACACGCACGAGAGTCATAAACATTATGAAGATTTACATCGGCCTGACAGATGGTACCGCGGAGCAATACCGCGCCGCGTAAGCGTCTTGCGTTCTGTACGCAATGCCACGTACTTAACTTCTTTTCTCCGCGGACGCTCGCGGCTCCTCTTCTTTACTTCGTGCTTACGCTGCAAGATCTCGTTTCATATTTATTACGGTAATCGCGTTGCTGAGACTTTTACGAGCGCGGTGCTCCGCGCTGGCAGCTACGTTCGGCATTAAAAGTAGTCGAACGTTCGGTTCCTTTTTTCATAATTCCGCGAGAACTGTACGCGAACGAATCTGACGTACGAATGAAATTTTCACGCAAGTCGCCGATCGTAGCAATTTTAAGTCATTAATTGTAATTATGTAATATACGCGAACAATTTTTTATAATAAAAATTAATTTTTTATAATAAAAAAATATATATAAACTGAATATCCTTGCTATATAATAGGCCAAAGATTACAATTACGTTTCAAATAATTTCAAATAATTAAAAAAATATTTCAAATTAAATAAAAAATAATAATATGTTTCGTTTTCTTATTTCCAATTTTACATAAAGAAATTGTTTTGATAAATAGAATTAAATACTCTACACACACACACACACACCACACACACACACACACACACACACACACACACACACACACACACACATATATGTAAAATATTACACCTGATGCAACGTAATATTATCTCAAGCAAAATCACATACATCAATTCTATTGCGTGTGCCATTCGATGTTCGAAAACAAAACCATGTCACCGGAAACGATGATTGCAAGGAAATTGAATGGCACGCGTTGAATGAAATAATCATAATGAACAATCCGACAGCTGCGCCATTTTTACTGACCATACATTGGATTATAGTAATCAACCTTTCTCTTTGCGCGACATGTTCGGCGTACACAAAAATCGGTTTTTCGCCAGAAAAAGAGAGAGGAACAACATGTCTGAAAAATTAATAACTCTTTTGTTCATTTCAATTTTTTATCCTTTCATTTTATAACTTTCCAATATGGCCAATTGATAAATTTAGATAGACAAAAAATTAGGTAGACAAAAGAAATCACAGAAACATGAATTCATGTAATAAATATTAAATAAAACGAATCGTAATCCCATGTTTAATCAACGACATTAAAATGGTAACAATAGACACTCGTGCGATCGTATCTTTGATTTATGAAAAAAGTTAGGCGTTCCCGCGCGATTTATAACATCGCGTATGTATAAATCGATTTAGGGCCGAGGGATTTGCATGAACTCCGTAATATTTTCGCTTCGACGCGAGCAAAATTACACGGGAAAGGAAATTAAATGGCACGAATGCGGAAACGGGAGTAATCTTTAAGATCCACGTGGCGCACCGCCGTCGTTCCTACCGGATGGAATTTTATTTTATTGACGCGCACAGCTCTGGCAGCAGGCTGCCTTCGGTGCCACATGGTCCCGTTATTAACGTGAAATGCAAACGAGCCCTTCGTTGCGTCCAAGAAACGGCCGCTCGGATGACTCGCTATAATTTTTCGCGCGAAACTGCATCGCCAAATGCCGTCGAGTTTTAACGTGTTCGTAATTGCGCCGGGAAATTCGGGCGCGAGCCACCATTCGGTTTCCGGCGAATCACGCAATGCACAGCGCGAACGATAAATCCGTGCTAATAACAAATTTGTAATTATCGCATCCCATTTAATTGCAACGTAAATCTGCCCGTAATTTCCATGTTAACTGAGTAAACGCTTAAATTTCTTATGGAGTATAAATCATAGGCGCGCAGACTCGGTACTTTAAAACCTTATACACAAAATGATAGAAAATTTTGTGTAGATTAAAAAAAAATTATAAATTCTAATATTTACTTATCGAAAATGAAATATAACTGACTTAATTCTCCTCTCTCATCATCATCATCAATTTCGATTTAAAAAATTTAAGATCGCATAGTTATAATGTGATTGAGAACGATCAACTTTGATTTAATTATCGTTATTATCTAATTACGGAGGAATAATTCGAAACGCTGTTCTGACACTGCCCGCGATTACTATTGGGGCAATAAAAACGTCAACAGCCCATATTCTGGTCACGTAACAACGCTCTCTGATTCTTCTACGATCGTTCATCAATCAACCACCCCTGTATTTCGCACGGACGACGGAAAAAGGTTGCACTACGCAATTTCGGATTTACGCACGGAACAATTCGCAGTCGTGACGCGTCGATCTTTATCGCGACAGATGATCATCATAATTTTAATTGACGCCTTCTTCTGTTATTACAGTTGTCTACAAATCGCTCGTCGCACATGCGCAAGTGTTATAGTATTTGCGATCTTCTGTCATGCCCCGTGACATATATTGCTGTGATAGGTAGCGTATAGAATCCGTTCATTGATTGATGAAGCAATAATACCTACCTATGAAAAGCCTTAGGTACTTCAGTTCACTTATGTGACATTATATAATATTATTACTATACGTTATTTTACCATCTATTAATTCACAGAAAATAACGAGACTTGAGAAGTAATTTTACATGCTATTAAAAAATGAGTAAAAAAGAAATTTTGTTAAATATCTTTGATGAAATTTAAAATATTGCATTTAGCTGTCTGTAAACAAAACTGTCAAAATTGATCAAACACCGCGATATGCGTATTTATTAAAGATATATTTTACACGTAAATATTAGTCTCAACAGCCACAGGCATTTTTAGACCAAGTTAATTAAAACGTAGTTACAAAGACATAAAGCGTTGATTGAAATTATGAATGGGCAAAGACAATCATACAAAGATCGTTTGATACAGCTTTGTATTGTATGTTGATTTATGAAAAAAAAATTAATGTAGTATCTTAAAGGATCGTAATTTGGTTGCGTTGTTCCTTTCAAAGCTGTGTGTTTTAAAACATAAAACATAAAATGTAAAACGTAAAACTTGCCTCTAACGCAAAACATCTCGCTTAATTGCCTGGCTTAACGCTTCAAATAATTTGATTTTTACCGTTTGTTTGTGCAAAAGGATATTTATTTTTCCTTTGTTTATAACTATCATGCAACTGTCTGTTACACAAGACTTCAGTTAAATGCGAATTGTAATTAAAAGTCAGTTATTGTGAGATTGCGTAGTATGATACTCATACGCGCGCACAATCGATTACTTTACAAAATAATATATTAAAATTAATATTTACAATTTATAAAAAAGAGCTAATAAATCTATCGATCGAATTCTTAATTTCGTAATTTGGATACGATAATAAATTCGCGAAATTATATCGGAGAACAACAGGATCAATCGTCGTGCGTCCGCGAGCGTTTTCGCAGGCAGTTATATCTGCGACATTGCGCAAGACGCGGAACGTTGAGAACGCAATTAACTCGGATGTCACCTGCCATCGATCGCCACCGAGAGGAGCCCTTCCCTCCCCCAATCCCTTCCCCTCCCCTCTCGTGTCGTTAAGGTGAGCTTTGGCCCCGACTTGCCGGAGACGCGCATCTCCGGCAATTCGTTAAGACGCTTAGTTAAGCAAACAAGAGCGGTGCCTCCGCGAAGTGATATACGTGCCGCGGCAGAAAATCCGCGGCTCTCCCGCTCGTAATTGCGCGCAGCTGCGGTTATGCGTGCGGACGTAAAAGCTTCGCGTTGCACGTTACTCGCGAATTGCATTATCACGTGAACGGCAGGGAGTC